ACAAAGTCAGTTATGCTACAGCCTGAGGCACAAACTAAATGATGGTGACTGTGGGCAACGAACTTGTGATTGAAATGATTTTGATAACAGGAAGCAGGTGTGCGACCAATCGCACTGAGTTGCTGTTTTAAAAGCGTCTTTGGTGCATGAAGACGCAGATAAAACATCAGTGAGATAATCGGTAGGCTATCAGTTTGGGATTGAATGGGACCAGTTTGGAAATTATGTGCAGTCTGTTTGTGATAACACAGTGATTAACTCTATTAGTTCAGCCAGAACCTCATAGATTTGAAACAGAAATTCTAAAAAGGTCATACTTGCTGCAGGACAGCACTTGAACTGCTAAATGACAGAGGCGCTCGGCAATACCGCTTTTATCTAGAATACAACCATATGGCAAAGAGTTTAGCCGAGTCCCAAAGAAACCTGCTGAAAATGGGTTGCACTCATCGGTGGTTACGTACTCAGAGGGACTGCAACATGTTGGTAATCTGTCTGCATTTTTATATTAGAATGCAATTACTAACAAACCTTCATATGGAGTTTATAACCAAACTCCACGAACAAGAAACAAATGGCTGTCAAACTTTAGCAGGTAAAATGGTTTCACAATGGTCTTAACAACAGGACAGACTGATACTCTGTAAGTTAAAAGCTCTTCTAAGCAATCAACTTTGAAAACTATCCATGTGGTTCTGCTAATTGTTGTCTCACTAGCACTTGGCGAGTTTACTGTGTCACTGCTACTGCACTGGGAAAAAGTTATCAGCGATAACCAAACTAACTGTGACAGCTTTTAAAGACACAAAACGGAGGAAGAACTTTATAAACTTCCAAATTGACAGGGTGAAAGTCAGGGAGATGCCTCGGGGGCCAATCAAGAGGAAAGACCTTGATGAGTAGGTTGAAGCAAGCTGCAATGTAGCAAGCTATTCACGCGCCACAAACACACACACACACGCATATATGTATTATTATGCTCTGCTGTAGTCTTTAAAGACTGTCTTCAAAGAGTCTTCCTTCACTCCTTGTTATCTCACACCAGCTAATATATGGAGGAAAGTCTCCCACTCTCTGTCACGCACACGCACACGCGCACACACACACACACACACACACACACACACACACCAATCCTAGTAAGCAACGAATATAAGAACATAAACATTGCTGCATATTTAAAAATGTGAATTTATGACTGCATGCTGTCATACACGACATAAACAGAAGTTCAGACGCTGCTGAACGAGCACACGAGTGCATGTATCCATGCACACAATACAGCAGTACAACAGCAGAGGTATCAATGTTCAGCAAGCTGATTATCACACGTTGTATTACTGTGTTCCAGGGTAAGCCTCACTGCCCCTGAGCAATACAGAGGAGATGTGAGCAGAGACCAGCATGAGATAGTAATACGCTGCTCGAGTGCATCATGAGCAGCTGTACCTTCAAATGCTTCTACCGTACAAACTTTGCGAGTAGCCCGTCCTGCAGCTTCCTCCTCACATTTTCTCTCTAGCGTTCTGTCAACTTGTAGCTGCTGCAGAAATGTACACAGGACTTTTCGATGCTGTTAAATAAAACAGCAGTAGGTTGAACTCAATATTAGGCGGTGCCAAAAAGTGAAGTATAAAGGTTCAATTTTTCTAAGTGAATGTATATCTGAGTTTTCCATTGTGGATAAAAATATAAGGGAATGAGAGAGATAAAAAGAGTGAAGATTCAGTAACTAGTAGATAACCCAAGCCAAATCATCAGAGACAGACTGATGATTCATCTCAGGAGCCTACAGAAGTAAAAGGAAAAAAAATGGTATAAGGAATCCAGCCTGTAAAAAAATCCTTTATTAGCACCAAAACAAAGAAAAACTAAGAGCTCAGAAAATGAGCCAGGCAGAAATGAAACTGACTTACTGGAGGTAAAGTAACTCCAACTAACTGGAAGTTAGATCAAATTTAAAAAGCTTTATATGCCTCTCTTATTTCTTTCCAATTGTAAATGTATTCTGTGATATTTAATCATCAATTAACTTTGTTAGTAACCTTTAAACTGCCTTTTGATGCTCCAGCATCTTTTTATATTTATCTTCAAAAACCTGCACAGCTCAGTGTAACGTAATTCAGTCAAATCACTGCTTTTCTATGTGTGAGGCTGAACGGCAGTGAAACACGAGGGGCTGCAATGCCTGATCACATAAACTACATCCTCTGGTGGAAAAAAGAGAGCTTAAAAACATGATAAATAAAATAATCATTAAAAAAGCCTATAAAATCTATCCTCACTACTATATAATCTTATTTACACAGTCAGACAGTGTCTACAGAGTGGGTGGTGTGGTTTCATACCCTCCTAAAATTCTGCAGACGTTATTGCTGCATCAACTGGGTGATGCTCTCTTGTTGACTTAAAATCAGACCAGCTACTTCATTAAGTCTTCTTCAGTTCCAAAGAACATATAAGAATGTTAATATGCATGCTTTCAATAAAAATATCAGATTTAAAAGATCCCCAAATACACTAAAAGGTCAGTTTATTAAGTACACCAGTTCAATTGCTTGTTTACACAGATATCTGCTCAGCCAATTGCATGGTAGCAACTCACTGCATGCTTTAGGCATGTCAAGATAACCTGGTGAAGTTCAGACCAAGTGTCAGAAAAGGGAAGAAAGGTGATTTAAGTAACTTTGAATGTGGCATGATTGTTGGTGCCAGACAAGCTGGTCTAAGTATTTCAGAAACTGCTGATCTGCTGGGATGTTCAACCACCTCTCGGGTTTACAGAGAATGGACTGAAAAATAGAAAATATCCATCAATATGCCTCGTTGATGTCAGAGGTCAGAGGACAATGGCCAGACTGCTTCAAGCTCATAGGAAGTCAACAGCAACTCATAAATTGGGCAATAGAAAAATGCTGTTTGGTCTGATGAGTCTCCTACTTGTGTTACAGCATTTGGATGGCAGGGTCAGAACAACAATAAAGCATGGCTCCATCCTCTCTTGTGGTCAAAGGAGCTTGCAAAGAAAAGCGTCTGGACTTCTTTAAGTTGCTTGAAGACGTTTCACCTCTCATCCGAGAAGCTTCTTCAGTTCTAAGGTCCTTTTGTCCCTCTGTGGGGGGGAAACTCCCACTAGGTTTAAATCTGGGACTCCCCACCATTTGACCTTAGAACTGAAGAATCTTCTCGGATGAGAAGTGAAACGTCTTCAAGCAACTTAAAGAAGTCCAGACGCTTTTCTTTGCAACCTCCTTTGACTACGATGACCTGGATGACTGAGAACCTTCACAGACATCCTCTCTTGTGCCAAAGATTCAAGCTCTTGCTGGGGATAATAGTGTGGGCAATATATTCTAGGCAAAATCAAGCCCCTTGACTGAGTAATTAACTGACTAATAGACTGAGTATCTTTTAATCACCTCAGCCTACCTGAGTATTATCGTTGACCATGTTCATGAATTTATGACCAGAGTGTATCAGTCTTCCGGTACTAGTAAATTGCACCTAATAAAGTGACCTGTTAATGTATATCCCTTTTTAACAAGTTACTATACCTCTCAACTGTCCCCAAACTGCATCTCAAAACACTGCACAGATCATTTTGTCTACAAAGTGTTCACCGCACTTTCAGGTGAAGGTCTGAGAGTGTCAGAGAGAAGTAGCGTCAGTGGGGTTTCTGCTGTTAATTTAGTTAATGGCAAGGCAGCTAATCAGACGTGAAGAAGGCACTCTGCTGTTTCGAACCTTTGTATGAGCAATTATGTTACATGGAAATATGGCTTAAAAACCCCCCAAAACAAACAAAAACAAACACACGCCTCAGTGACAATGCTTGAAATTTAGCACTAAGCGCCACTGTCTGACAAAAAAAATTGCTATTAAGGCAACGTATAGTTAAGGGGCTGTGTTTGTGTCACTCTTTTATACATTGTTTTTTGACAGAACACATCAGAGCATCTTTATTAGCGGTGCAATTTTGTCACAGTTCTGGCCTCTGCGCAGAAAAATCAAAGTTAACGATAAAATCAGCCACATAAACCAGGCAAACTCTAAGGGTCCTTCTATTGTTGCAGGGACACCATCATCAAGTATTCCCCTGCACTTCCTTTGATGACAGGAGTGCATTAAAGTGTTAGGTTGGATTATTTGAAGGCTATACAGACAGTCCTTTTATACTGGGAACTGAAGCCTGAAGTCTCATTAAAGCCACCAGACTCTGTTGACAAAAACAGTAATTTTCCCCTCGCAGAAAACGGGACATGCTCAATCTGTTCGTTTGTTTGTGGTATTGTGTGACTTTGGTGTTTTTGATTAAACGTGTTAAACTACCTAAGTCACTCAGCGGTACTCCTGCAAGTTCAAATTGCTGTTTTGGAAACTGGCTTCAGCTTCCTGTCCTCAAAGGCTGTCTAACAGCAAAAGAATGGAAATATTTTAAATATCACATATGCTTAAATCAAGGTGGCTTTCAGTGATGTCCCAGTCCTAAAGTATGCACTGCTCAGCTTCCATGCATTACCCCAGGCTGCTTCTCCAAACCAGGTTGTGCCGATCCCATCTACTGCAGGTAATAAATCAACTATTGAAAAGTAGCTCGTATAGCCCAACTTAAAAAAATAAATAAATAAAAATCTTAGAAAAACCTGAAGCGACTATTAAAGAAGAACTTAGCAGTGAGGGGGCGGGATTACACATTTTTTTAAGGTGAATGACTATTAGTTATTGTAATCTCTCCTACTACTTCATAAAAATGAATAAATCCTTATAAACAATCTAAATGCATTTTCAAAATAAAAGCACTTTTACTTTAGATTATTTTGCATCTGTAGAGGAACCAAAGTGCAAAAACGATAGGTGAAGGCTATAGGTGGAGTCCTCATAACATGTAAAAATAAATCTCAAATCTTTCTGTTTTCAGCGTTACATTTATGACACATTAACACTTTGCACCATCCCTGACACTTTTTTATTATATCTTTGCAGATTGTAAAAGCTCTCACCTTTTTTGCAGCATTGATACACTGCATGTATTCTTTGGCCAGGTCAGAACACTTTAAGGTCTGGTCTTTGTTGTCCCTGTAACAGGATAAAATCTGAGCCTGCAGGCCAGCACACACTGCCTCTGTGTTGCGAGGCCTGCAAAAGACAAGAAACAAGAGAGACGGAGTGAAAAAACTGTCATTTTTGTACCTCTGTTTCTTACTGCTAGTGTAAATTAGGCTTTCAAATAAAATAAAAAAAAAAGAAGAAGAAGTAAACTCATCACACTATTCATTCAGATTCTTACATCTTCTGTAAATCAACATTTCATTCATCAGTTTAGCTTTGATTAGTTGATGACATAGTATCAGTGTAACATGAATTCAGGTAGGTCAGCTGCTCAGAAAAAGAGAAAAATGCTGGATCACAACTGAAACAAAAAACAACTTTAAAAAAAAAAAAATCAATACTCTAGCTGTCAGTCTCACATTCATGACTGACTTAGAGGGAAGAAAAGCTGCAAGAAAAAGCATCTAAAATGCATTTACAATCTATGAAAGTTTACAAGTATCCAAGAGAGCTGTCTATTGCTGTTTTGGTGGCAGCACGGCTATTTTCAGCAGAAAAGCTCCAAAAACCTGTTATTCACCAACTCTCCAGCAGCACACTCACAGACAGACAGTAGCCTGTAAACAAAGGAAGGCAAAAAGCAGAAGCTTGCACAGACAGACAAGACAGAGTCAACTAGAGTGACTAAACAAAACAACTTCATCAGCTCACTTTGTTCATGGAATTCATTCATTGAAACATTTCAGAAATGTGGTTTTTTGATTACAGTTTTAAATACTGACACAAAGAGCCTTTTTGGAGAACATTACATTCAAAATGTGGTATGCACATCATAGTCTGGCATCAAAACATATGCTGTGTGAAATTTTGTCATAATTGCTTAATGAGAATTTCCTAGTTATGGCCAAAACTGTGTTTCGGGAGGTCGCAGTGATTTTGTGCTTAGATCACAAAATTATAATCAGGAGTCAAAGGAAACATTTGTACCAGACAAATAAAAAAGGGCCTCCCAAGATAAAGGTCATCTACAAAGCATCCTGGCATCCTTAAAGAGATCATTGATGATGAATAACTGTTAATAGAGGGGAAGAGGATCTTTAAGACTGCTACCAGTTTCTGAAGCAGCAGAGAACGAGCAGGAAAACTAAGTGACAGTAAACTAATGAAACACTGCAGGTTAGATCACTCAGGCTTTGTGATCAGTCTCATTAGAGATGTGCTCACTTCCTGATGTAGCAGCAGAAACAAGAAGCCCTCCGAGTATTTACTTTAAAGGCAACGGTGTTGTACTTTGTATATAAACGTTATGTAAGAGTAGGTCATGGATAATAGGCACTGAATTGTAAATAACTGGACATGAAGCTAATAAGTTAATACTTTCTTTAAAGATATAATATATTTGGGGGACAACTTTAAAGAAAGGTATCCTTAAATGTAAAAGCGAGGTCAGAGGTCAAGTGTGACATGTTATTTTAAATATTTATATTATACTTTCTGTATGTTGAAAATAAAGTTTCCAAGTTACGCATCTTTTCGTCAAATTTAGGCCGATAAATCATTAAGATGACATTGAAGCCGTTAGTGAAGGTGAGCCAAATTTTAATGAATTGTTAACATGAGCCCACTCTACACCCTCGCAAAGCTATTGTGTTTACAGACAGAATGACAACACGCACATATGCAAACACTACCAAAAACATAACCTTCTTGGTAGCAGTAACAAAAATGATCACATCACTGACATATTTGGTGAAAAGTGGGGAAATGCACCAGTGCAGCAGCGAGGACTCTGGTCTATCACAAACTTCCATCTGCAGAAGGATCCCACAAGCAATTAGAAGCTTTCATATTCTCTTCTTATTTCCTCTGAATGTGGAGGAGAGAACAGGACTGAGCAGTCTTAACAACATTAGCTGCACTGAAAGCTGGCTGGACACGCCAAAAAAAATTTTTTTTCCCGTGAAGGGTGATTAAATCAAGTTCAAGTTCAAATTTGCCACATGCAGTGGCAGGTTGCCCTGCAGTGGAATGAACCCGCCCCCCGACCTTACACACACAACAATCAGGGAAGCTTTATCATTTTTTTAGGGACTCATCTCGTAAAGCTGATCAACTATGGTTACACCATTAACAATTAAGACCGCATGAAGTTAGCAGTGTGTCCAACTTTAATCTCAGTTGTGTTATAGGAGGTTTAAAAAATAAACTCACTCTTTAAATTGGGACGTTTACATCTTACCCACTTCATAAACTGATGTGAATCAAACAGCTTTGCAGCAGCTGTTTTGTTGTACTGGACCTTTTGCATGACAGACACTGAAAGGATGGAGGATGAGAAATAACTGTACTATGCAAATCACAAATATGCCATTTCCTCACTTAGAGGGGGGGGGAAAGCAGTTGATGGTGCTTTCAGTGCTCCGGCACAACTACACTTTCCACGGCTTTCTCGTTGCTTTAGAAGTTCTTAAGTCTTCTTAAAAGTACTTCTCCCGACTCTCCACAGTTTTTCACCTTAGGCCTAAAATACTTTATAAACATCTTTACCAATTTCAATTGTGTCACTTGTCTATACCTGTAACAATACCAAACAACAAACTGTGTTGTTTAATTTTGAACACTTGTTTTACAGCTGTGTTCAAGTTCAAGTTCTGGGTTAAAGCTGTCTTTTTAATTTTATTTTGTCTCAGATCAGAACAAAAGAAACTCTTTTAAGAAAAAGTAGAAAAAAATGGGAGTGAAGATAAAAAACAATTCACACCTAGACGTGCCAACCTGTTTGAACAACCTATGGGGTGTATGGTACGTGCTTCACTGCGAATCGTACAATTAGCGCTAAATCGTACTTAATTGAGTGGGCAGGATCATTCTGATCAAATACAGCAGAAAAGTGTGCTTTGAGAGATTGAATTAGCCGTGTTTAATTTGATATGTGGGCTGTATTATAATTTGTCTTTACCTGTCTATCTGTGTGATTGTTAACTACGACAGGCTTGCTGCCTGGGCGCCTCGCGGTAATGGATTCTGACTGATTGAAGCAGAGACAAGAGAGTTATGTACACCCACGCAGGTATAGACTGGCACGTGCGCACACGTCTGCTGTAAACATCAAAGGGCGCCGTGCATGCACGCGCTTCGCTACATGCCAACACGTCGATCTCCGCACTGTGTCCCTGCTCGCTTTCTCCACGAGGAGCGTTTAACACCGGATTTAATTGAAAGCCAAATTAAAGACTCTTTTAGACTTTGACTCATGAAGAGAAGCTGACCCCATCGTTTCAATTACAGCATATCCATATCCACGCAAACACTTTATCATCAGGAAAAATATCATGGATGCGGCAACGGAGTTTATCTGAGCGCAGGTGATCGAGGTTAAAGAGGAAAACGAACAGAGATGAAGAGGAAAAAACAGAAAGTGAGATAGAATGATGGATGGAATGAAGCATCAATTGGCTCTCTTTTAGAAGCCCATTTGAAGAAGATGACAGCCTATCAGATTACTCGGTTCCCCCCAAACAACCTCCAATGGTTTATATCTCCTGATTAATCGCTCTTCTTCCACTTTTCGCCTTCCCTCCAACTCTGTCTTCTTTCTTACTTTTTTCTCTCCCTCGCCCGCCCTCCTCCTCTTTTTTTTTCTTTTTGGTCCCACCATTAACAACACAGAGAGTACAACACCAAAGTGTGCCATCTTTATCTCCCCCTCCGTTTGAGGCCGCCAAAGATAAGGAACTCTCCTTTAATTTGAAATAAATGGCCTTCATCAGGGAAGCCAAAGCCTCCTGATAGCGCTACGTGGTTTATTAAAGGCGCTTGAAGCAGAAAATTGGTTCAGCTGCAGCAAAAGCTAAAGCTCTGTCCACATGCTACACCAAATTGAAGGTGAGGTCTTAAATCAACAATATTAACTGAGCCGCTTACGAAAATAAATAAATAAGAGGAGGAGAGTGAGCGGGGTGGGGAGTGGTGGGACTTCTTTCTTCTTCTTCTTCTTTTTTTTTTTTAGCTGGAATGAGGTAAAGTGGCATCTCTGACAGCCCGCTGAGCCATGTATGGGGTTGTTGTTGTTCATTTTCGTGTGTGCGTGCTGCAGAAGCACTCTAAATGCGAGTGGAAATAGCAATTTTTACATTTTTTTGGAGGTGGTGGTGTGGTGGGGTACTCCACGCATCTGTGAGTAGTAAATATAACAAAACATAAACAGTAAGATTAGTCGCTTAATTAATGGTGCTGCCCATTATTTTTAATCTCCGGCAGCGAAGGCGGAGGCGGGCAGAACACAGAGGCCTCAGACTTCTGGACCACGCAGCTTACCAAGACAAAGAGAGGGAGAGAAATGAAAGGGTGAGAAATTGGAAAACGGAAGAGACACGAAAACACACCAGTGACTACAAAAGCCTCCGGGAAAGCTACGAGACTGATAAGGAAGATGCTTTTATCGCCTCGAAACCGCGCTTCTCTCAGAGTTAAGAGTGATGTTTTTGTGTTTTTCCTTAATGGCTTTGGCTATACATATGAGGCACTGTTTGTCCTATACACCATTTTATTTCTATCCTGTCAACTACAAAGGGCTGGTATCTCTAATGTGTTTCAGGCAAGTAATTAGAAAATCGTGTTAACATCTCATACAAATAAGCACCCGAGGAGAGAGAAAAAAAACAAAAGCGGAGAGAATCAAATGCTGTGACGTAGTGTAGGAAGTCTGGAATACCTCGTGTGTGAGCAGACACATTGCTTTGTTATTCCAGTAATAGCCTCCAACTACAATCATGCTCTTAACATGAGCTATATTTCAGAATTAAATTACAATAAATGCATTTTTTAAATTAATTGGAATAAAGGCTGCTTTATTTGACAGCATCACAGGCACTGACCTGGAGGTTTTGTCAGCTATTTTTGTATATAGTGCTAAAAAAATCATAATAATTTATGTAAACAAAAGAAAATCCAAACAATGCTATAATGTTGCTATAATTTGATTTTTTTCTTATTAGAAAAAATCAAACTTTACTTCTCATTGTGGCAGTGGTATGCGATGTGATGTCACAAAAAACCATTAAAAATAATGTCTTTGTCACATGAAT